GCCCGGAACTCGGCAAGACCTAGTCTCTACAATAAAGCAAAAATTAGCCAGGCTTGGTAGCGCGCGCCTGTAGTTCCGGCTACTTGGAAGGCTGAGATGGAAAGATCGACCCAGCAGGTCGAGGCTGCGGTGGCCGGAAGCGTGCCACGACACTCCAGCCTGGGTGAGAGAGTGAAACTCCGACTCGAGAAAAAAGGAAGGAAGGAACTACCAACGCGCACATCATGGATGAATGTCAAATGTGCTGAATGAAAGGGACTTTGCATATGATTCCAGAACAGGCAAAATTAATTCACAGTGGAAAAAATTAGAACAGTGATTGCCTTACAGCAGAGAGTTGGGATGAGGCAGGGGAGACAGGGAAATGTTGGTGCAAATAAACTATAAAGAGGCAAGACAAAACTTTCTGGGGGTGATGGCAATGCTCTGTACCTTGAAAGGCATTTGTGCTTCATTCGAATACACATCTGTCAAGTTTTGACAAATGTGCACTTATGGTTTATGAATTTTTTCCATAAATTTTACCTCAAAAGAAATAAAACTATAAACAAATATTAAATTCCAGTTAATGATATGCATGTTGAAGTATTTAGTGGAAAGTGTACCGATATATGCAATATACTTTGAAATACATTAAAGCAATAAGATAATTAATAATGGCATGGAAGGACAGTGGGATAGAAGTAGAATGTTAATGGGAGAATCTAGGTGGAGGTATACTGGTTGCTCACTATAGAAATTTGAGAAGAAATTTTAAGTTTTCTCATATCTTTTGATAGTTTATATAAGTAAGCAATCTTGACTTTTACACTTCCAAAATTAGCCATTAAGAAATTCATGATTCTCAGTAAACCCATTGCCATTTGAACTGCAGTGAATTTACCAGCAACGCGGAACAAAGATATGTTCATTGTAGTCAAGAGAAGTTTAATAAAGTGATTACAAATATATAGTGTTAGTCGTAGTTCTTCCTAAAATGAAGATCACATTTGACAAAAACGTCTCGCCTTTGCAAGGTTTTCAGAACCACTCAAACCCATCTGGCAATAGTTTTTCTTCTTCAAAGTTCCTTTCTACCACTTGGGGACATTTTATTTTCAGCATCAATGAAAAAGAAATCTACTACACTCCATTGCACATTAGAGTAACCAATGTTTAAAAAGAAGCTATCATTTAAAAAACCTGAAAACTATTTCCATAATTAAATGGCTATGGGAAACCCTCATGATGTTCAGAGGCTCTGACGGTTTAAGCAAAATAAAACATTAAGTAACTTCTTAGTTTTTCGTTTTGAGTCAGCGTCTCATTCTGTTGCCCAGGCTGGAGTGGAGTGGCATGAGCATGGCTCACTGCAGCCTCAACCTCCTGGGCTCAGGTGATCTTTTCGCCTCAGCCTCCTGAGCAGCTGGTATTTGGGACTATAATCACATGCCATCACGCCCGGCTAATTGTTTTTTTCAGAGATGAGGTCTCTCTACGTTGTCCAAGCTGGTCTCCAACTCCTGAGCTCAAGCAATCCTCCTCCTGCCTTAGCCTCCCAAAGTGCTGGAATTACAGGTGTGAGTCACTGGGCATGGCCTAACTAACATTTTACACCATCAAAATGGCCTAGATTTGGTCCCAGTTTTGGTGAAGATAGCCACGTCAATTCATCCAGTAGAAATGAAAAACAAAATATATAATTATTAATATTTATAACACTCGCAGAACAGCATCTAAGGAAAAAGATTACCATCAACAAGGACTTCTGTATATTAAACAGGCACATCCAAAGCAGATTCAGACGCAGGAAAACAAACCTGGGCACAACTAACAACATTAAAAAAAGGTAAGAAAGCTCTCTAAGATAAAAAGAAACGAGAGGATTTCAGAGCCTTTTGTTTATAAATATACTTAGAAAACATTTTCCTAAAAAGCCTTAAACACTATCCAAGAGAATCAGGAGCTAAGTCTACCTCTGATAAAATATACTTAAGTGAAAGGAACAAATAATCTAAAAAAGAAACAGAGAAGCAGAATGTTCCTTCAGCTGCTGAAGAAAACAAAACAATCATTAAAAAAAAGGAAACATCTAGTCAAATAGTATAACAAGAGAGTAAAGGAAAAAATAAAACTTGCCCCCAGTTCATTTTATGAAGTTAGCACAACCTTAGTGTCAAACCTAGATAATACAAAAGTCAATATAAAAAAGGGAAATTACAGATCTTATTCATGATAATAAATGTAAAATGCACTAAATAAAATATTGCCAAATTGAATCCAATAATTAAAAGATTTGTTCCATGAAAACACATGGTTAATTTAATATTAAAACAATTAATATAATTTACCAAAGATTGAAGGAGAAAATGATATGATCATCTCAATATATGCAGAATATAAGATTCAACAACAATTCATGATAAAAACTACTAGCAAGTCAGAAATAGAAGAGAATATACTGCACTTTATAAGAAACATAGCAAACATTATGTTAAACGGTGAAACATTAAAATTATTTTCTGTAAAAATCAGTAAGATTGCAAAGATGTCTGTTATCATCATTTCCAACATTTCCTGGAGATTCTGGCAGTGTGTATGAATACATGGAGACACACACACACACACACACACACACACACACACTAAACAGACTTATAAGAAAGAACGAAGAATGCCATTATTTTATTATATGTAGCAATTGTCTTCATAGAAAACTCCATACATTTATAAACTATTATAAAGAATCCATACATTTATACATTCTTAAAATGAAAAAGAGTTTAGAAAGGTTTTTCTATTATCAGATCACTATGCAAAAGCCAACTGCATGTGCACAGACCAGCAATACTGTTAGAAAATGTCATTTTAAAAAACATACCATTTGCAATAACCAAAAATAAGAAATTCAATTGTAATTAAACTGTAAAGAATTATAATTCTGTCAATAAAGACATGCAAGATACTTATGAAGAAAACAAAATATTATTAAAGGATTAAAGAAGAGCAAAACAAGTATAAATAGCAAGTGCACAGATAAAATAAATTACTCTAAGGGTGTCAATTCCTCTTCAGAACTAATCTATGGAACCAATGCAATTATAGGTTGGACCTAACTCTAAAACCCAAATTCCAAAATGCTCCAAAAACTGAAACTTACCAAGCGCTGACAAAAAAAGTGTTCACTGGAGCATTTCAAATTTCAGATTTTTAGGTTTGGGATATTCCGAAATCTGAAAAAGTTCAAAATCTGGAACACTTCTGGTCTCAAGCATTTCAGATAAAGAATACTCGACATGTATCTTAAAATCTCATCAAGTTTTCTCACAGAATCTGAAAATCTGATTTTAAGATTTATATGAAAAATAAATGACTAAGATAGCCAAAGAAATACTGTAAAAGAAAAACAGGTGGGTGAGTAAAAGGACTGGGAAACTTGACCTACCAGATAGCAAAAATTATTTTAAGGTTATATTGAGACTGTAGATTTGGCTATGGAATAGAAAGTTCAGAGAGCAGCCTGCACATATATATGGAAATCTAATAAACTGCAGAGATGGCATTGCAGATTAGTGGGGACAGGATGCATTATTCAAGAAACGTGTAAGAACATTGGAAAAAGTAAAATTATATTTTTATCTTATACTAGCCACAAAAATCCCAGATGAATTAAGAATCTAAATGTGAGAGTCAATAATTGAAACTTTTAGAAGAAAATATATGAAAAAAATGTTAATAATCTAAGTGTTGGAAAGGATCTCTAAAAAACAACACATTTGAAGTACTAATGGTAAAGAAAAAAGATGAAATTTAAACATTAAAATTAAGCAGTTTGGTTCACTAAAAGACACCAGAAAGGAATTGAAAACATAAGTCACAAAGAGAAAATATTTGCAAAACATATAACTAATAAATAACTAATACCTAGAATATATAGAGAACTCCCATTAATTAATTAGAAAAAGACATAAAAAATGCACAAGGTAAAAAAACCCAAAAGACATTATATATAAGAGGAAAGATAAATGGCTCATAAACATATGGAAAGATACTCAACCTCTTTGGTAACTGGAGAAATACAAATTAAAAGAACAATGAGATACCTAGGAGTTGGCCAGGACAAGGAGCAATGGGAATTTTCATACCATGTTAGTGGGAACATAAATCTCATACTATAATACTATTCAGTACTATTCAGGAAAACATTTGGGATTAGTAAAGCTGAACATACAAATATTCCATGATCCAGCAATTCCATACCTAGAAATATATCCTAAAAGAGCTCTTATACATGTGTACCAGAAGACATATACAAGAATGCATTCTCTTTCTTACTGGGGTCAAAATTAGAAATTAACTCTAAAATGTTTGATTAAAAGTCATATAAACACTCATCTAAAATTAATGCTTATGAGGCATATAAATATTATTTTCATGAATTTCTCACTTATTAATTGATAAATTCATCAATAAATATCAGTATATATGATTCATAAGTGCAGAGATAAAATAAGCCTGACAGATCAATTTCTGATATAGCATGAATGAACAGCTTTTTGTTCACACTGACAGGCATATGTGCTTTAATCACCAACGACTGTATCAAATATTTATAAAAGAAAATCCTTTTTGAAGATTATTTCAATTTAGTCAGGATTAAGAGGAAATAAAACTTTTATCCTTATCATCCTTGAGTGAAATAAATTGAGTTTTAATATCTTAATCAGAAAATACATAAAAAGAAATAATAGTATAGAGAAAGCCTGATGTCCTGTGGTCTTCCTTAATGACAACCCATTTTCAAGAGACTATAAGCTACTCAACAGAGAACATTCTACTAAGGATCTTAATCAGATTCTGAGAAAATTCACACTCAAAATAAACAATATGCCACTAAAACCAAAACAATGTAGGTATTAGCAGCTATACAAAAGGTTAGCGTCAATCTGATGAATCATTTCTAAAATGATGAAAGTATAATTCCTTGAAGTGCTTTCTATTCAAGCCAGAAAATATATAAAGGTAGGAATCATTTACCAAGCAGGTTGGCTGAGATATTTTTCTTCATTTTACACCTCCTTGTTTGATTCTATGCAAATATCAAACTAAGAATGGCAAAAATGAGTCTTTCTTCCTACATATTGATACTAACTTTTGTCTTGTTTTCTCAAGGTATTTTACTTTCAGCATCCAAGTCCATAAGAAATTTAGAAGATGACATGGTGTTTAATACATTTAGGCTGGGGAAAGCCTTCCAGAAGGAAGACACTGCCGAAAAATCAGTTGTTGCTCCTTCCCTGGAACAATATAAAAATGATGAGAACAGTTTCATGAACGACGAAGAAAACAAAAATTCAAAGGTAAGTGGCAGTGTGACTCGTCATTTATTTCAATGCAAATTGTGTTTATAAATCCTCTGAAAAATAAAACTGATGCTTTTATAAACAGAAGCATATGCAAATAGTCACAGTATACATTAGGGCAACTGATACTTCATACATACCAGGTGGTTCTTCCATTCTGGAGGACACTTCTTATCTAAAAGTTTTTGTCTTTCCTATAAACTTGTATCTAAAGTATTTTTAAATACAGTGCAATGAATCTATGAATTTATCAATAAGAATACTATACAATTGTATTATAATTCCATTCCCAGTAAGACAGCTAAAAAACAAATCAAACTTCTCTTTACAGAACACAGGCTCCAAACATAATTTCTTAAATCATGGTCTGCCGCTGAACCTTGCTATAAAACCTTACCTTGCACTAAAAGGACCTGTAGCCTTTCCACCTGAGAATGGAGTTCAGAATACTGAATCAACACAAGAAAAGAGAGAAACTGGGGATGAAGAAAATTCAGCTAAATTTCCTATAGGAAGGAGAGATTTTGACAGTGAGTAGTCTTTTTAAAATTCAATTCTTTCATTCTAACACCATAAAATAGAACTCCGAAATTAACTGAATTTGGATTCAATCACAACAAAATCAAATAAGTCCATGCTTCAATTATAGATGATATTAAGTGACACCTGCCAAAAAATATGGAATGAAAGAGCACTTAGTTATTATAATTTGGATTTAATCAGAATCGGTTACACTAGAACCATTTTTTTTATTCCTAATAAACTTTGTGTGATAACTATAGTCCTTTAAACAATTTAAACTTTTTTTTTTCCCCTTCAGTGCTCCGGTGTATGCTGGGAAGAGTCTACCGACCTTGTTGGCAAGTCTGATACCTGATGGTCCAAATCATCTTTCCAGAAGAAAATAAAAGCATGTAATTGCCAATGGGAGGAAAGTCCTCAATGTTATTATAACTTGTGTACTATGTTTAATGTCTGTTTTAAAAGAAAGTAGTGTCAAGGTATATCAGTAACCTAATGATATGCTTTTTCTGTGCATTAAACTTTGTGAAAATTCTGCATAATTATGGCTTGCTAGTATTTTTGAACAATGCTTACTTACTAACCCTACATACACTCCAGACCAAAATAAGAAAGCAGCATAATTTACATCTTGATCTCTTAAAACTTAAGTATGTCTTTGGTAAATGGTTTCATATATATCTATAAATCTAAAGCACATAAAAGAGAAATTCATAGTCTAAAAAACTGAGTTAACTTTGTCTGGCCAATAATCAACTTGCCCGTGGTGGTACATTTATTGCCTTTTGCTACTCTGGCTAGTCTGCCATCCAGTTTATTCTGTGAATCGTTTGATGTCTTAGATATCTTCACATTTTTAGGTTGAGGTGGCTCATTTCCATTATCACAGAAAATATTTTCAACATCCAAATCCACATGTTTCCTTTTTGAACTTTTACTTCCTGCCTGATTATTTGATTTTGTTGATAGTTTCTCATTTTTGCTTCCATCCAGATAAACATTTCCAAAGCTTGTTCCAATTGTTGATCTTCCAACAGATGAATTTGTACCTTTTGTCATGCAAGATGAAAAAGGGAAAGGAATTATATATTATTTAGTATTATTATCATGAAAGCTTTACAATAAACTTTTTAAATGGCTAAATATTTAAAATGTATTAAAAATAAAATAATGCTATACATTATATGATTAACAAATACAGATACATTATTATCACATTACTTTTCATTTTACCACACCACCTTTGTTTCTGGCTAATAATCAGTTTGTCATCCTTACCAACAAATATTTGAATACATGACACATTTAACTCTTAAACAAATACTACAAATTATTTCTAAAATACATTTAGTTAAATCAAATTGTGTCCTATTCCTATCCAAAGATTTGTACTTACATTTAACTTTTTAAATAAACTCAGGTCTTTAAAAATATAAACCTTTACATTTCATGGTACTTTGCGAAAATAATCTAGCTTCACATAGGTTAAGACCAATTAGTAGACTAATTAAATCGTAATTTAATTGCTCTAATAAGGTCGATTACCAGAAAGGTCATTTTCCGTGCGTAGAACATCACACAAAGGCTTTGATGCTGAATTAACATTCTTCCAATTATCCCTGCTTATCATGCAGTCATCTTTATAAGTACAAGCAAATTGGGATCTCATTAAAGTTTGCTTCATCTGGTAACAGAAGGAAAGAATAAAATATGCAATTTGTTCATTATTTTGATTTTTTAAATGTAGATAGATAGATAGATACTCCATGACATTCAAGGTATAAAAATAATTTCCCTTTGAAAATCCATTATTCATTGGGATTTTTTTTTTTTTTGAGTCGAGGTCTCACTATGTCACCCAGGCTTAAGTGCAGCAGGGATCAAGGCTCACCACAGCCTCTACCTGCTAGGCTCAGGTGATCCTTTTGTCTCAGCTTCCTGAGTAGCTGGGACTATACAGGTGTACACCACCACCGCAACACCTGGATAATTTCTTTATTTTTTTGTAGAAATGAAATTTCACTATGTTGACTAGGCCAGGTTTGAACTCCTGGGCTCAAGTAATCCCTTTGCCTCAGTCTCCCAAAGTGCTAGGATTACAGGCATGAACTACTGCGCCCAGTTGGGAATGTCTTTTCTTTTTTTTGAGGCAGGGTCTTGCTCTGTTGCCCAAGTTGCAACGCAATGCCACTATCATAGCTCACTGCAATTTGACTCATGGGCTCAAGCAACCCTGCTGCCTCAGCCTCCAGAGTAGCTATGACCACAGGTGCGTGCCATGGTACCCAGCTAACTTTTTTTTTTTTTGAAGAGACAGGGGTCTCACTATGTTGTCCAGGCTGATCTCAAACTCTCGGCCTCAAGCAGTCTTCCTGCTTTGGCCTCTCAAAGTGTTGGTACTATAGACATGTGTCACCGTGCCCAGCCAATTAGGAATTTTTAACATTTATGTTTCATAGTTTAAAAACTCATTCACTGCTATGGCTAGCATTTTTGTTCTTTTCTGTGATACTAGCTTAATGTATATTTTTGATATTTTTCTGTAACAGTTTTTTAAAAAATCAATTTTAGATTCTTCATGGGGCTTTGTAACACATTCCTGTGTCTAGGTTGCTTTAGAGAGTCAGTTGTAATAAAAGTAAAATAAAAATACACAATACAACTTCAAAGTACTCTCCATTTGATGCAATATACCTGTTGAGACAATTTTTCCACTGCTTAAAACGGTTTTGAACTCATCAATTTTGATGCCTTTTACTGTTTCTGCAGTTTTTGTTTCACCTCTTCCACATCGGCAAAATGTCTCCCTTTGAGGACTTTTTTCAACCAGAGTAACAGAAAAAAGTCACTGGAGGCAAGATCAGGTGAAAAGGGAGGGTGAGGCCTAGGGGTCATACCATTTTGGTCAAAAACTGCTGAACACTCAGCATGGTGTGGGCAGGTGTGCTCGTTAATCATCCATCATGAAATGAGCAACCTCACTGAAAGAACCACCTCCCCCCAGAAAAAATTCCCTGAAGCTGAACGCGGCCTGTCACAACTATGCTAGCTGGTACACTGCTGCCGATGGGTTCCTAGAACACTGACCTAGTGGGGGAAGCATGTACTGCAAGGCGCCCACCCTCCAAAAATCAATTCTGTTTTATTGGGGGGTCCCCATTGTACATAATCATAGAAAAATACAAATTCTTCATTGAAAAAAATACACAGAGCACAATTATTTTGGAAAAAAATAGTATATGAAGCAAGAAATTAGGGAAGGGAGAATTGCTAAGATAAAAAAATAACAGAAGAAGTAAAAAGAAACAAAAAGGGAAAACTAGCAAAGAAATAAGCTGCAAGATAAAACAAAATGGTGTTGGAAAGGCATCATTTCTTGAGTATTTAGGAAAATAAGATAGATGATTCAATATATCATTTTCGAAAGAGTTCCAAGTAATTTAATGGCCCAAAATCCAAAATATACTCTTGCATTTATCTTCAAACATCATATAGAGGGGCCTAACTTTCTATTAAATAAGAATAAATTAGAAAGATAAGTAATTTTTAACCATTGGAAAATACACAAAAAAGGTAGTTTTGGAAATATATTCTGCAAATACAAAACCAACAAGCTGGTTTAGGAATAGAAATTAGTATCAGAATAAAGTAGCTTACACAGATAATGCAAATTTCAACAATTACAACTGACATGTAATATCATTCAATTATAATACCATGATTTTACCACATAATTAGAAGTCAGCTCAAATCCTTTTCAGAAATAGACAAAGTTTAAATTTCAAATAATTCAATATAGAGGCCTTCAACAATTCAAAAATCGTTGTCAAAAACACCTCAAAGTATCACTACATTGCACTGAACATTACTTAAGAGTATTTATAGATAAAGCTCATGAAATCTAAAACAGCATCACTTCACATTATATATTCAGTAGTTATTTATTGTTGTATATTCAGAGATCGGTGCATTAATCCACTCAGATGTTTGTAAAGATAATGGCAGTGAAATCCACTGACTATGGTTTAAAAGAAATTAGAATAATCTCCTGTCCAGCTGCTTCATAAAAACAAGTTTTCTTAGGATGACAAATTTTCTATCTTTCTGATTAGTGGGATCTGTGAGAGCCTCCATCTCATCTCCCAGATTACTAAACATCATGTTTCATGTGCTTGAATGCAGCATTAGACAACTGGAGTTTGTTGTTATCTTCCATTTAAGCACAAAAATGCACAAAATTGAAAAAAAATGTGGCAATTTACAAGATCAAAAGCTTATTTTTTTAAAAAAAAGGTAAACAGAATAGGCTCTAATGGGAGTACAAACTACTACCTTTATAAATCCCCACAAACATACTTTATAACTTCTACCACAAGATGCCCTAAAATGTAACTGAAGGTTTTTAAATAGCTTTTTTCTGGACTTTAAAAAAATGCTATAACTACAAAATTAAAGCAGTTGATAAAGTTCTTAAATTTTTAGCCGTTGCTTACTAGACTCTGGTGTGGCCACGTGCTCTTTCAGCTATGGCAGTCACCATGTTTCCTGGCTTTGGCCTCCTTCCCTATCTTGGGGAGGTGAATCTCTTTTCTCTCTCTCTCTCTCTCTCTAATTTACTTTTTAAATAAACTATATTTTCCAATCTAAAAAAATTTTGTATAAAATGAACTCTATATTATATCATATCATTACTGTAATAACATTATCCATAAAATTTTATTTCCACCTGCAAAACCAGCACTATCTTTTGACATTATCTTTTCGCACATTTTTTTCATTTTGCCAGAGTCACTGCTTATAGAGAATTATACACCTATTGCTTGTAAAGAGTATGGTAAAACCATGCAAGCAAATAGATGCTGAGTGGCGGGCTCAGATCACTCCCTCTTACCCAGATAGGGATGGTACATACAGTGGCTTGAGAGATGCTAGCCTCCCGTGACAAAATCTTCATCAGCACCACCCATAAAACACTCTGAATAAAAATACAACACTAAATATCAGCTATACCATTTATACAGAAAACTAATGTTTCCTCAATCTCATGTTTAGCATGAATAAAAACTTCTTTAGAATGTTTTGCCATTTGTATTATTTTTTAACAACCAATCTAAGTAAAAACCTTTGTTTGCTGTGTAAATACAGTCACAATAAGCACCACAGCTCTCCTTACAACTAGATTTCCTCACTTCAGGGTCTCCTATAGAGAAATTTTAGAGCCCACTCCCCCTTAGAGAAATTCTAGAGCCCTCAATGACCACGGGACATTCTCAAAAATCTAGAGTTACAAGGCAATGGATTCCTAAAGATGAGAACAGGTTCAGATATAAAAGGAAAATAGTTAGCCACTTTATTTACCATGAAAAATACTATTTATAAACATACCAAAACATGAGAAGAAACGCAAAAGAATCCCTTTTGCACATTAAAGATTTTTAAAATTTTTATAAAAGATTATATACAGATTTTCTCTTCTCTGCCCTGTACAAAAATCTCTATCAGTTATCATTTATTAAGTCCCAACTGTATGATAGGCACATAGTATACCAAAGAGATCTCTAGAATGCTTCTATAGTCACAAAGACATTCTACTTATAAAATCTGCCATTTACACACACTGAAAAGAATAACAAATAAATTAGATAACAGAAGCAACACTGAAAAGATTTTAGAAGGCTAGAATTCTAAATAGAAAATAATAAGATGAAAATGAATGGAGATAAACAAAGTCCTGTATTTAAATTCATAAATATTAATTACAGATGTACAGAATGAGGAGAACCTGACTTAAAAATTACATTAAAAAAGACTTAGAGATTTTAATTGATCATGAACTTGACTGGAGCCAACAGTATGATGTCCAGCTAAGAAAGCAGTACAAAAAGAAGATGTGATGGGAAAAGCACCAGATTTGCAACCCAAAGACCTGACTTCTAATACTGGTCGGTCTGTTACTTATTAACTAGATAATCTTAGATAAACCACTATACCTCTCACTTACCCACACATAAGTGGAGACAATATTTATCTCACAGAGTTATCAGAATTATACGAAGCTTAAAATATTTAAGAGTCATATAAATTTTAGAGATATATGTAGATACTATTTGTCATTATTGAAATAACATGTCTGAAGAGAGTATTCCTGTAAGAATAAGATCTATTGAATTAGATATCTCAGGATCAGGCCAATTCTAAAATAAGTCTAGAAATGCAGCTCAAAAATGAATTTACAATCAGTTTCTTCACTTTAATTATTAATATAATGCAAGCTACATTGGTTTATATTTATAACTTAAAAGAGACTGCTTTTCCTTTGTTCATAAAAGTTGAATTTTTCTGCACAAGATTAGTAGTACATAGAATGGAGATTACTTCCTGCTGCAAATCTTTCAAATCTCTCTGTGTATTTGATTTGGAATCACAAATAAGCAAAACAATTCCCTCTTGAAAGTGCTTTTGAAGTACTAAACAACTAAGAATAATGTCCAGATTCATACATGGCTGTTAAAATCATTTCATGTTCAAGTCACATGAGAGAAACAAATTGAAAGTATTCCTTTGTAGAGTGATCCCCCCCCCCGGAAAAATTTCTGTCCACAGTAAAATTGCAATGAACTTCAAACTTGCCAAGAATTGGAAAAGTTATTTTGCCACAAGCTCTTTTTAAATTGAAATTATTAG